TATACGCTGCAAGTCTATTTTGCTGCACCTGGGTTGAACGCAGATCACATGAAGGCAGAATTGGAGACAATTCCAGACAAATATGCCCAAGGAATTGAGTACCATGTATTGCCAAACAGAAGCACAGGAGTACAGTGAAAACAATGGCTGCTTTTTAATGCACCACCTCACATTGATCTCGTGAGTCCATTGGCTCTGGTGATCAAGTCCCCGTTTACTCTGAGGCAACGTTCTGCACTGCACAAACAATTTTACTTTCATCTGGAAACTTATCAACCATTTGTCCCAATTTCACATCCAAATCATTTACATAAATGACAAAAAAGCATTGCACCCAGCTCCAATCCTTGTGACACACCGCTAGTCACAAGTCTCCAGTCTGAAAAAAACAAATCTCCACCATTACCCTCTCTCTCCGACTTTCAAGCTAATTTGTCTTCGTTTGGATCACATATTTGCTCATCCCCGTTAAATGATGACAGTCCATCATGGAAACAAGGTACCATTGCGCTAGAGGATCATAGGTCTGTTTTCATTTCAGAGAAATTACTGATTGCGTTTTAGCATGAAGGTCAAAATACCTCAGACAAAAAGAGGGGGAAGAAGGCAAAACCTTCATGGTGACCAAAGCTGGTAGAGGCATTGTGCAACCGCTATTGCCCTGATACTGCGTGGAAATCTTTCCAGGCAGCTGAGCTGATTGAGCCCACCCCCATCCCAATCTATTGTAGATATTAAACCAAATTTAACAAGTTTAATTATTGCAGAATTAAAATGATCACATTGACTTCTGTAAAATTCATTTTTATACCTTCCCTTCCTGACAAGTAACCTACTGACTGTTGCCATCCTATCTCAGAGCAACTGTGGTCACTCCAAGAGTGTAACATTCTATCTCCTGGCCATGGTAGTGGCGGATCTGTTGGTCATTATCTTTGACCTGATATTGAGACATATTCCAATTGTTTACCGTGAGTATTGCCATTTCCTGCACTCTGTATGCACGTGCAATATCCACGCAATCCTGCTTTATGCATCTGCTGACTGTTCTGTCTGGTTCATTGTCACTTTCACCTTTGATCGCTTACAGATTGTTCCTTAATCTTTTAGACAACTCTCCGTGCGACACAACAGTGCCAGCTTTTATTTCTGTGCTCACGTGCTGAAGTGGGTCTTGAACCTATAACTTTGTGTCTCAGAAGTAAAAGTGCTACCAGCTGAGTCGAAGGATCTACTAGGCTCTAGTCCAATACCCAACAGCCTCTGCTTATTTCTCATTCACTTGACACATAGCTTTAGCATCTCCTTAGTGAACTGGAAGCATCAAATAATAAAACACCATGGTCTGAGTGAGTTGTTCTCATCTCTAATTATGGTCATTTAGAGACAGGCTTAGTTTGGAGATACATTCCCTGTAGATTGCCAGGTGTGCTTTGCCATTCTACTAATTTGAAACTAAACTTATGGAAATAAAGACATTTCAATGTTGGTACATTAAATAATGGTGCCCAAAACCCTCAGATGAGACTGTGTTCAGATGCTGAATTATAATCGATACAACATTGCTTGATAATCTGTCTGAGACTTCACCATGACGTCCTCAAGAGGCAACTGGAGGGAAGCCAATGATCAGTTGGGTCCACATGCTATAAGAATGATTTACAAAACAAAAAGTCCTTTAAGCTTTGGGTGGAAGCTACTCAATGAGTCTGAGTGTAAAGATACAGGTTGCCTCATCCTGTCGGGAAAACAGCACAATTTGGAGCTCCCATCTCTGGAAAACAAAGGTGGAGTGTCAATCTGAGAAATTGTTAAAATGAGGAACAGATGGGAGAGGATAGATGTGTTGACTGAGGCTCTACTGATCAATCTATTTGGTGAACATAAACCCACAATATCTGAATAAAAACCAAAAGAACTGCGGATGCTGTGAATCAGGAACAAAACAAAGTTGCTGGAAAAGCTCAGCAGGTCTGGCAGCATCTGTGAAGGAAAAAATAACAGAGTTAACATTTCGGGTCGAATGATCCTTCCTCAGAACAATATGTGAAGTTGTTTAACCAATATCAAACGTTATTTGACAAAGCATAAGTGCATATCTCCTGTTCTAAAGTACTTTAATTTATTCTCCAAAGACAAGCAATCCTTCCCTTCCTAAGGAAGATCATTGAGTAAAATCCAAGTCATGCTTGCCATGCACTAATAGGCATTAACTACCAGTGGTCTTAGGGCTCCAAGCTTATGGTCACGCACCTAACATAAACACCTGGGGCACTATGAGCTATTTAGCATCGCCAAACCAACTGCCCTGCACATCTTTGGACAGTGGGAGGAAACCCATACAGACACCAGGAGGACGTGCAAACTCTACACAGACAGTTGCCTGAGGCTGGAATCAAACCCAGTTCCCTGGCGCTGTGAGGTAGCAGTGCTAACCACCGAGCCATTGGGTCACCATGTTTGTCATGAATACTTGTGAACAATAAAACAACTTGAGGAGAAGGCTCCAAATGAGCATCCACCATGATAGTGAAGTGGAAGGTAGAGTTGCAACTCATCAACAATCTTAAGTCAGAGCTTTCCCATGGATGATTGCTCTTAGTCTGCTTTGGAGTTCCCCAAATTACAGACACCAATTATCATCCAAATCAAATAAATCCACAGATCGAAAATACTGTGCTGAAGGCATTGGATAATGTTTAGTCCTTGGATCCAACAATACTGCAACTGAAATTTAGTGCTCCAGAACATACCACAACTCAAAGTAAACTGTTCGTGTACAGCTACAACACAGGCATCAGTCACGCAAACTAAAAACTGCGCCAAAATATCCTTTGCACAAAATGAGGTACAAAATTAACACGTCCAATTCACATCTCACGTCTCCAGCAGAGTTCCCAATGGATGTTAATTGCTGCTAGTTACACACTTTGCTCGCATTAAACTCGTTTAGTCCCCGACTCTTGATCATCAGTTTCGTGACGGAAGGGCATATTAACATCTTGATGCAGCAATTTGCTTCATAATAGTCTGCTCGCATAGGCTCAATTTGGTTGAAAATATGGCAACTCACTTTGCAAAACCATTACAACTTTGGTTCAAGCATGGAGAAAAGAGTTGAATTCCAAAGTTGAGATTGATTGGCCTTGGAATCAAAGCCGTACATGACTGATGTGGCATACAGGGATCTCTCTAAAATTTGATGGCTTTTCTGACTGAAACTCACTTCAGCAGATGCAGATGCGGCAGATAGTTTTTTGAGTCAGGCCAAAATCTTTTTTCGTCTTCATAGTACCCTCATTCACCTGTTGCAGCAAACATCTGGAAGGTATATGGTTTAGATCTCGATCATTCTGTTCACTCGTGATTCTGGACAATATCTGGAAGGTCTTTCAAAGTAGCAAGTAACATTCACGCCACAGACATACCAGGTAATGAATATTTGTCAAAAGAAAGAATCTACACATCCCTGCTTGAAGTTCAATAGCAATTCCTCATCGAATCCCACACAATCAATATCCTATTTAACAAAAACTGAACTGGCTAAGAAATATAAATATAGTAGCCTCAAGAAATCCTAGATGCTCGGAATGCTGCAACTCATGACACTCCCAAGGCTGTGAACCATCGACGTGGCACAAGTCAGGAGTGTGATGTAATTCTTCCAACTTTTCAGTACAAGTCCATATTGAACAACACTCAATAAGCTTTATACCATTGAAGGCAGCTACACCATTTACTGGAAGTATATCCTCAAATAAGCTACACAAATGACACAGGGTAGTACAGGTTCTATAAAATACAATTCAAAAATTCGTTAAAGCTTGTTAGATAGCACCTTGCTAACTTAAGTCTAGCACAATCTATTAAACAAACGCAGCAAATTCTTGGGTAAATCACCACAGACAGGTTTCCCTTCCCAGAATCCCTTCTGATGCTTCGAGTGTGTATCTGAGACATGCCTATACCTGGTCATTTCAACTGAATGTAGACTGGCAAGATATATCTGAAGTTGCGGGTCACAGTGGGGTGAAAACCATCAATTCAAAATGTGGGCATTTTGTAACAACATGGGTTTCAGTACACTTGGCAGCAGCAGACAAAAGTAAAATACAGGCGAGAAATCTAGTGATTGGAAACTCGGACTCACAAACAGTCGAGAAGGATCCTCATCAATAATAACGTTGTTGCATCATTATTAGTCATCGTAATAAACACGACTATTTTGAATTATGAAGTGACAGTTCATAACAAAGTTAACTCGTACATTGCACTTATCTTTGCATCACAAGTGTATGAGATTATAACAGTGAGCCGGGGTATCAGAGAATCATCAATGCCTCTAGTTTAACTGAGGTATAATATCAATAGAGAAATGCAATTTTCGGAAACTTTGTGGTAATATGTTCTGAACAATGCTGAAAATTTTATTTCATAGAGCAGTTGAGGCATTGGAAGTGATTTAAGGTTAGAAATGATCATTGTAAAACATATTTTGCTTCTCTTTCGAAAAGCAGGAAATTATTGATTCTACTCCTGTTGATTATAGTATTTCTTTAACGGTGCAAAACATTGTTAATTAGTTCTCTTTACATAACGTAACAATGTAAACAAATCAAATTTCATTTGCCCGTGATTCAAGTAACTGTGATCAATGATGCTAATAGCGCATCTTAATTGGACACCTAGGGGATAAATGATTTTAAATAAATGATCACTGCCAGCACAACTGCCGCATTGACTGTCAGCAGTTTTCAATTTCTGGATTATTCTTTCAATCTCATACGATGGAAAAAGCTGTTATTTTATTGATGAAAGAGATTTATTACCCGATTATTGCAGTTATCGGTGTACCTGGTGAGCTATTGTAACCTCCCTCCTTGGATTACTTTTCACTGCCTCCTTGCACTTACAGTCTATTTGATGAAATTAGTGTATTTGCATGTAAGTCAAACTTTGGAACACTGACTATTTCATTTCTTTTCATTTCAGTGAACTTGATGTCAATTGTGATACTTTCCCGTGGAAACTGTGGCCTTTCTAGATGTATCTCTTTATACATGCTGGCTATGGCATCAGCTGACCTACTGGTCATGATAATAAATGTAATAGTTTATCATATTTTCAGTTATAACTTTCTATTTTCATTTCTATACCATACTTCTGTGTGTAAATTAATTCTGTATCTTACTGCTGTCACATTAGATTTGTCAACCTGGTTCACTATTTTCTTCACATTTGACCGATTTGCTGTTATCTGCTGCCGGAAATTTAAGACACTATACTGCAATGAGAGGACTGCAGCTGTGGTTATAACCTTTTTCCCTTTATTGACCTTATTCAAGAACATCCCATTTTTCTTTGCTTATAATCACGAGAAAATAATCAACAAGGTGCATTGGGGGTGCCAGCCGAGTGGAGCTTTCTTTTCTTCATCCATTGGAGTAGTGTTCTTCTGGTTTCACATAGCTTGGGGAGTTTGGCTTCCTTTTACTTTAATTGCCTTGTTTAATTGCTTGACAATCAGACGTATTTCATTGGCAAATGGAGCCCGAAGGAAACTCAAATCTAATGTAACTGAGAATAAATATGATGCAGAGATCGACAATCGAAGGAAGTCCGTCACTTTACTCTTCACTGTGTCAAGCAGCTTCTTACTGCTGTGGCTGACAGCTGTCATTAGCTTTGTAACCACTAGAATAGTAAACGTCAATTCTTACCGAGGAGACCGCACAAACCCTGGATATATCGCCACGGAAATCGGAACTATGTTGAAGTTTTTGAGTTCTTGCCCAAACACCTTTATTTATGCAGCTGCTCAGAAGAATTTCAGAAAAGAGTTGAAAAAGGTGCTGAGATGTCTCACTTTTTAGTGACTTTTGTTTTCGGGTGTTGAGTTTGCTTGGATTAAACAACGTGTGTCAGATAGTCTGCACAATTTCTGCAAAACACCCAAAGTGACTTCTTCCATTCCCAGGAACCTCTTAGTGACTGAAAGAGTCATTGCTACGTCAGGCACACCCTATTTCATCCAACCAAACACTACTCCTGAAACAAAAGACAGCATATACCACTTGCTGACTTTGAATCCAATAATCCTGAAATTAGAGATTTTGATCCTGAGAACAGCCTGCAAATTGTTGTGTACCAGACCAGACCCCGTCAAAATATTTTAAGAAGATAGCCTAAACTCTAACTTTTTCTTATTTTAAAAGTAAACGTACAGTGCTGTGTTCTCGTTGCAATTCGACTTGTCTTTCAAGAGTTTTACATAAAGTGTGCAAGGCAAAGCTTTCTGAAATGGCAAACAGCTGGAGTTCGGTCTGTCCGTGTATTTGAGGAAAGGGGACGGTTGAGGCAATTGCACAACATTTACAATTGTTAGGAATGCCATCGGAAGAATTGGAAATGACTTGAGTTCAGTGGAAAATGAAGCCACTTGAGCATGGACAGGAAATGAAACAGTTTGAATTACAAATAAAAGCAGATGGAAAAAGAAAAGGAGTGGAAGGGCCTAGAGAAGAAAATGAAAAAAAGGGAGAATAAAGGGAGAAAGAGGGAGAATAAAGGGAGAAAGAGAAAGTTTTGAAGTTCGCATGTTGGAACTGAGATCTCTATTACTGAAGTAATAGACAACAATCCCATTGGATCCAAAGGCCTGCTGAGGATCTGTTTTATGCGTCCAAGTGTTGCCTAACGTCTACGAGAGGACTTTCGAAGTTTTTTTTTTTAATCTTTCATTTCAGAAAGTGACGAAACAAATGAAATGGCCCGTGAACATGTGGGCATTGTTGACCCAAACGAAGTTGGCAGGTAGCGTAAAGTGACATGAAAACATATCATTTTAAGTGCATTTTAGCAAGGGCCACAAGACTGCAAACAACTTTTTCAGGAATCTCAGGAGGTAATCTGGTGAAACGTACATTGAGTTTGACAGGATCAAACAAGGCAATTTTGATAGATGGATTAGAGCATTGAAAATTGCTCAAATGTATGACGGTTTTATCTATTTATTTTGGTGGTGTTCAAAAATTCACTTCCTGAAGAAGTGAGAACTGATGTGGAAGAGCAGAGGGTTAAAATTGCAAGATTAGCAGTTGAAATGGCTGATGATTATGACTTAGTTCATAAATTACCGTTTGGCTGCCAACATCAATTTTAATCTCTAAGGAATATGAATTAAGGAAAATAGAAAGCTTCGGGTAGTAAGGGGAAAGGAGACTGCATTGACAATAGTGAAAATAGTTTACTACAGCATAAAGAGGAAACTCGCCAGGTGGAAAGAGAAGTTAAAAAACCGCTCAGGTGGTTTTACTAGAATGAATTAGGCCACATGAAATCATTGTTGGTTCGAGACATAAAGATTTTCCTCAGCATTTTATTTTTATTCATTAATGTGATGACGGTGTCAGCATTTATTGCCCATCCCCAAACACCTGGAGGGCAGTTCAGAGTCAACCACCTCGCTGTGGGTCCGGAATTATGTGTAGACCACACCAGGTAAGGATGGCACTTCCCTTCCCTATGGACATTAGTGAACCAGATGTTTTGTTCCCCCCACCCTCTGACAATCAACTCAGGATCGTCATTGGATTCTTGCTTTCAAGTACTTTATTGAGCTCAAATTCCACCATTTACCGTGGTGGGATTTGAACCTGGGTCGCCAGAACTTTAGCTGGGTTTCTGGATTAACACTCTAGGGATAAACCACCAGGCCATCGCCTTGCCATAAGAAAGTCGGATCACAGGTAGGAATGATGCATACTATTGTTGAAAAAAAAAAAACAGTGGAAAATCAACTAACTGAGGTGTTGCAGTAAGTTTCTTCTGGATATTGTTGTGACTGCGTGGTAACCAGATTACATAGCCCCAGCTGGAAGCAGGAGGACAAATGAAAGAATAAAGATAAGGAAGTCGATGTTCAATTATTGGAGAACTATGCTTGAACAAATGATTGAGGGGAGAAAACGAAAAAGCAAAAACAGGTGATGGATAAAATTTATATTTTTATTTCAGAGAAATTAGACAAATTACAAAAGAAGAATGAAAAACCAAAGCAGGGAGATAGGAAGAACTGCAGATGCTGGAACCAGAGACAACACAGTGTCAAGCTGCAGAGACAACACAGCATCAGAGGAGTAGCGAAGTCAAAGTTTCGGGTCGGATCTCTTCCTCAACCAAAACGTCGACATTGCTACTTTTCTAATGCTACCCGACCTGCTGTGTTCCTCCAGCTCGCTGCTGTGTGGTCCGTGAAAAACCAAAGCAGTTGCATCAAAAACATTTACAGAAGAATAATCTGAGTGTTTCCTAGAATTTTACTAATTTAAAAATGACATCTTGAAGAGGAAATTGAGAGCATCACATATTCCATTGGATGAGAAATGGGCAGAAGCTCATCAAGTTGTATTATCATTCTGTTCTCACTACTTCAAGAAGTTAATATTTGAACTCTTCTAAAATAGCTGTATCCGTAAAACGGTCGTATGTTTGATCTATTTTCAATGCCTTTATCTGCCTATCCAAGTGAATCAACCAAACTGAGTGCATTTGAATTCGGTTTCTGGCATGACGTGAGAACACGCTGAAATTAATTAAGGAGAAATTGATGAGTCAGAGTTCAGAAACCACACATTTAGTCTATGTGACAAAGTTTAAAGAAAAATAATAAATAGATTTGGCTAGTAGCACTGCATGTGATAAATCAGGAAACAGACAAGAAATGAAAAGTACTAAATTATACTACTAGAGATACAGTGTTAGTATTACTTTCAATTGTCGGTTAACCTTTAACAGCAAAGTTTAGTGGGATTTTTTGATGAACTGAAAAGGAAATTGAGTGAGGTGAACAAATTGGTACGAACAACAGACAGAAAGAAATTTCACAGAGCTTTTCATGTGAATATGTTCAAAAAGAACTTAGGTAGGGAAGGAAAGAACAAGGAGACTTCATTACTGGTTACAACACACTGTGAAGAACTTCGAGCAGATGATTCTGCATTGGACATTCCTCTAAATAAATTGGACTGTAAGGAAGTGCTCAAAAATGTGACAAGTCACTGAGTCGCATTCCAGAACAAAATCGAAATGAACTGAAATGTCTATCACAATCACATGGGGAGATATGAGGCTATATGTTGGAACGTAATAATGCAAATACGCAGGATGTCATAATAAGAAATGATGTTCCAACTAAGCAACGTCCTTACAGACTTAACCCTCTGAATTGGCACGGATACAAAAAGAGATTGAATTCATGCTCATAGTAGGGTGCCCCAACAAGCTGAGGCATGTAATAACAAGTGGGACAGGATACTGGTGTTGTGGCGCCACAACAAACTGAGGCATATAAATAATATTTGGGACAGAACACCGATGCTTCACCAGAGGTGCACTGACGATGTTACATAGCAGGGTGATGAAACATTTGCAAACAAACCCACTGGCTTGGCGAGCATGTCAAAAACCTCATAATCAAAGTGAGTTGCAGTGACTGGAGCTCACATATAGTAATGCTGCTAAAACCAGACATATGGAACTATTATGTGTGGAAGTAAATGCGGTTGCAAGACTATCTTATTCACGGTTTGGAAGATTGTATTTAGGAGGTGGGATAAGCAAGTTCTGTTTCAATGTTGGACTTACTCAGACAAGGCTGGCATGTACCTTTTTCTGAAAGAGCAGAATAAATGTTTGCTGTTGTGGCGCAAAATGGACTGTACCAGTTTACAGTTATGCCATTTGGTGTGCAAAATACCAAACATACCAAATGCCAAAAATCAACGTCTCGAAGACTGACCAAGTAAGTCATTTTGGTTGTACCCAAATTGCGCAGTGTATATTAATGATCTGGTGATTTTTAGTCACGCATGTTTGAAACGTTTGGTGAATCTATCGGAATTGGTGAACGAACCGCAAGAGGCTAAGAGTCAGTTCACAAAAGCCCAAATCAGGTTCCTGTGCCATGTCTTTGGATATGCAAAAATGCCCAATGGGATTTGAAAACAAAGGTTATTGGAGGGTTCCCCACACTACCGACACAACTGAAGCATTATGATTACTGGGAGTAAATGTTTTTATCGAACGCTTCTCCCAAATTTTGGCAGTGTGGTTGCTTCATTGCCTAACTGACATAGTCGTAGGTCATACAGCATGGAAACAGACCTTTCCGTCCAAATAGTCCAAGCCAACAATAATCCCAAACTAAACTAACCCCAACTGTCTGGTGTTGGTCCATATCCCTCCAACCTGTCTTATTCATGTACTTATCCAAATGTCTTAAATGTTGTAAATAAACTTGCATCCACCAATTCCTTTGGAAGTTCATTACACACAAGCGAACCACTCTCTGTGCAAAAAAAAATGGCTTTCATGTTTTTTTTCAAATCTTTCTCCTTTCCTCTTAAAAAAATGTGCACCCAAGTCTTGAAATCCCCCTTCCTCGGGAAAAGGCAACTGCCATGAACTCTACCTGTACAGTTCATTATTTTTGAAACTTCTGTAAGGTCGCCTTTCAACCTTCTATGCTCCAGTGGAAAAAGGTCTCATTATATCCAGCCTTTCTTTATGACTCAAACCTTCCATACTCGGCAACATCCTTGTAAATCTCTGCTGAACCCTCTTCAGTTTACTGATATCCTTCCTGTAACTGGGCCACCAGAACTTAACGCAATTTTCCAGAAGTGGCCTCACCAATGTACTGTATAGTCTCAACATGTTAAGTTTTTCAACAGAGCTAATTGTTAAAATTTATTCTAAATCTTTGCATTTTTAACTACATTATATGAATAAAGTGTGTTTTGCTTCATGCCGAATAGTTTGACAAATCGATTTGCATCTGATGCGCAAGACCGTGACCTGCAAATAAAAGAAGAAAAAAATTTCTTGTCTCGACGACCTTCCCAATATATTTTGAGGGGTTTCCTCTGGCCCATAACATACCTCATTGATTCACGCTCCAAAGTTATTAGTTATAGTCTTCTTCATTCATTTTCCAGATTTGCTTATCTCTAAGAACTGCTTGAATTCTGTTATTCATTTAATTCTTCGCTATCCCTACGAAATTCTGTTAGTCATTTTGTATTTATTGCTAAGCTAATCACAGAAGATATAAATAAATGTTAATTCCAAATAATTGCTGTAAGATTCATCGTATTATTTCTAATATAAAGTTGTTACATATAAAGTTTATTGTTTTAAGGTACTGTTCGCCTTCTTTGGCTAACGAGTTGTGAGCAGTATCTTTTTCTTCCCACGTTATACTTGCCTATCACTCAAGGACATTTAAAATGCTGTTGTCAAGGTTACTAACGGCATAACTAGATATAAAATATTTGTTTTACTAATTGTTATAAAATATCTAATGTCAGTTCCAAAATGTTATATGTTTTAAATCTAATCTTAGGGTTCTTGAACTGTCGGGAAATGAGCAGCTTCTGTCCCACCTGACCTTGGAAAGTCAGGGAAACACTGCCCCTGTATCTTGCAGCTGCACAATAGCTCATTCCAGTCACGGACTGTCTTCTAGGATGAAATTTACTTTGCATACTCTAAATATTTCTACACTAACTCCTTCACTTGATAAAACAGCATATGTTGCAAAAACAAGATTAAAAGTCAATTATTTTCACAGCTCAAACAACCTGTCTCATTTCCTAGGTTTTTACAAGGCATAATCTCGTCCTTACCATTTGCCTCTGTTATTGTGGGATCATACTTTTCTTTTCAATGCTTGCTACAGATTTCAGGCTGTCTGTTCTCAGACATCTCTTAGCATACTGTCTCTTACAGACATCTGTAGGTGCTGTTTTCTTACAGGTCTCCCTGATATGAATTTGTCAGATTCTTTGTTCAAAAGAGACTCTGCTACCTTGGGTTATTTCCTTTTCAAAGCCACCATTATGCTAACTGATGACCTCACTTTAATGCTGGATGAGGCAAGTTAATTCTTTTATTGCAGCCATATATATGCCAACAGGCAATGATATTGTTCCATCACCTACCTCAACACCCTCAACGCTGACGAACCCAACTTTTAATTGAAGCCATGGAGATTTCAAGAGACGTAAGGAGATTCGTGTCCCACTTCTTCAGAAGTTCTGTTGATGGAGATAATGGGGGAAACAAATTCCCAGGCCAGATATGAACAGAGAAATGGTAGATGGAGTTTAATCTGTGCAAGTATGAGATGCTGCAGTTTGGGTGATCAAACAAGGAAAATTATACAGTTTATGGCAAGACATTGAACGGCATTGATGTACAGCGGACTCTTGCAGTTCGAGTCAATAACTCCCTGAAAGTGGTCACGCAAGTAGACAAGATGGTAAAGAAGGCAAATGGCATGCTTGACTTTATCGTTCAGGGCACTGACTACAAGAGTCAGAATGTCATGTTGCAGATTTATATCACTTTCGTTAGGCTTGCACTTAGAATATTGCATTCAATTCTGATCGCCCTTTTAAAAAAATGATATGAAAGTTTTGCAGGGGGTGCAGAAGAGGTTTACCAGGATTCTGCCTGAGAGAGGCAAAGGAGGAGATTTCTGGGTCCTTGACCAAGATCTTCGTATTCTCGCTCGGCACTCGAGAGGTCTGGGTCGACTGGCAAGACTTGGAAACAGTAAAAACTACAGATACTAGAAACTAGTGAATAAATGCGAAGCTGGAAAAGCACAGCAAGTCAGAAAGCATCCGAGGAACAAATAAGTCAATGTTTCAGGCCAAACTCTTCGCCAGGGCTGCAGAGAGGAAACTGATGTTGTTCTTCCATTCAAGACGAGAAATAGGAATAATACAGGAAATTATCAACCGTTCAGTCTCACATTGGTGGTTGGGAAGATATTGGAGAGAATTCTTACGGAAAGGATTCATGCACATTTGGAAAAGCATGGCTCAATTAGGGACAGTCAGCGTGGATTTGTGTGGGACAGGTCATGATATCAGTGAACTTATCGAGGATATGACGAAGCTGATTGAAGAGAGTGGAGCAATGGATGTTAACCACACGGGTTTAGGCAAGGTTTACAACAAGGTCCCTCAAAGTAGGTTCATCCAGAAGATTAAGATGCATGGGAACCATGGTAACTTGGTTGCTGGGATTCAAAATTGTCTTGTCCATAAAAGGCAGAGTATAGTGATGGAGAGGTTTTTGCCTGCGTAGAGGTCACATGCCTGTAACCCTGCATTTCCCATGGCTCACAATTGTCAGGAAGATAACTGTGAAAACAGAAAGAATGACGTTACAAATACTATCACAACCCCCACCTCACTGTTCTTCACCTTAAAATATATTCCTTCTTTCAACATGTACACCTCCACCAAGAAGACACAATGACAGCATAGCACGCCAAGGCTCACCAAGGCTCTTTCATCAGCATCATCTCCAGTCCTGTGCCTTCTCCCAGCAAGAACAGAAAAAGCGAAAACCACATGGGAACACCTGTACAATGTGTGATCTCCCGTCCGAGGTATATACCATGCTGAATGTGGAAACAGTGTCCTCTCTTGACTGTTGCTGGGTAGATGTGACAGAACATCTGTGAGCAGTTTGTCTGTGCCCAGTTCAAATCGTTCTTTGTGAATAGATATGGAGTGAATAGTATGTATGCATTCTTGCAATGTGCCTTACGTTCGCATTAAAAACCTGTAGTCTTTTTATATTGTTCCTGACACACACACACACACACAAATGTGCGGAGGCGGAGGCGGCGGAAAAACTATTCGACATACAACCGTGAACAGTATTCATTAATGTTTGGATAGAGGGGGATGAAGGTGAGTCCTTTCCTGAGGACTGACAGTTCATGCTCAGCGAGGAGGAGGTCTGGGGGGACGGTGAAGACCCGGAAGGGTCTGGGACTAGTGTTGGCTGTACAGCTGGTGGCTGTCGGGACAGTGAGCAGAGCTGGCGTCGGTGGTGGGCGGAGCGGCGTGGGCGAATTGACGTTTTCCTGGATGTTGGCGGCGGCAGCGGCGTCCTTGCTGTAGGTGGCGGTCTGGGTCTTGGCGACGGAAGCGGCAGCATCCGCGGTGTGGGCGGCGGTAGCGGTGGCATCGCTTGTGGTACCCGGAAATAACGTAGTCGACGTCGGTGAATGTGACGAGGTCGGTGGCGTCAGCAGGTGATGCGATCTTGACCGAATGGTCAATGGCGCCAGGTATATTGTGGGGGAGGTCCTGGGTAGGGTTGAGGATTTGGTGGGTGGAAGAGGCCTGTGTTTGGTGGCAGGCACCGGTAATTTTGGTGTAATTACGGCTTTTAATGTCCGATAGGGCAGAGTAAAATCGCAGGTTGAGCTTATGGATCCTGCAAAGAATGAAAAGGAGAAGAGGTCCTTTGTAGGTCTTGGAGAGGGAGGCTTTGAGCTCTCATCCCTGTCTCTTTGACATGTCCATCTTCTCTCCCACCTATCTGCTCCTCCCACCTCTCTGACCAATCCGCGCCACTGTCTACCTGCACTCAACTATCACCATCCCACTTACCTTCCCTTGCCCCACTCCTCCTCCCTCTATTTATTTAAGAGCTCCCTTCCCCCTCCCCCGAACCGTAACGTCAGCTTTCCTGCTCCTCTGATGCTGCCTGGCCTGATGTGTTCCTCCAGATCCACACTATGTTATCTCTGACTCCAGCATCGGCAGTTCTTACTATCTCTGGTATCTATGTGATAGGAAAAATGTGATCGCACTGGAGATGGTTCAGAGAAGAACCAAAAGAACTGTGTATGATGTAATCAGAAACAACAATAGAAGTCGTTGGGAAAGCTCACCATGGCAGCATCTGTGAAGAATAAACTGGAGTTAATGTTTTGGGTCCGGTTCTGAGGACGGGTCACTCGACCTGAAAAATTAGCTCTTATTCTTTTTTCTTCCCAGACGTTGCCAGACCTGCTGACCTTTTCCAGCAACTTCTGTTTTTGTTCAGGGTTCAGAGAGGACCTAACATGAGGTTTTTTTTTTTTTCTCAATTCATTCTTGGGATGTGGGCATCGTTGGCTGGCCAGCATCTTTTGACCATCCCGAGTTGCCCTTGCGAAGATAGTGGTGAGCTGCCTTCTTTAACTACTGTAGTCCTCCTGCTGTAGGTTGATCTGCAAAGCTGTTAGCGCGGGAATTCCAGGATTCTGACCCAGCGACCCTGAAGGAATGGCGATGCATTTCCAAATCAGGATGGTGAGTGGTTTGGAGGGGAAGTTGGATGTGGTGGTGTTCCCATCTGTTTGATGCGCTTCTCCTTCTAGATGGAAGTGGTCGTGGGTTTGGTAGGTGTTGTCTGAGGATCTTTGGTGAATTTCTGCAGTGCATCTTGTAGATAGAACACACTGCTGCTCCTCAGTGTCGGTGATGGATGGAGTGGAAGTTTATGAGTGTAGTGATCATCAAACAGGCTGCTTCGTCCTGTATGGTGTAAAGCTTCTTGAATGTTGTTGGGATTGCACTCATCCAGGCAAGTGGGGAGTATTCCATCACACTCCTGACTAGTGCCTTGTAGATGGTGAACAGGCTTTGAGGAATCAGGATTTGAGTTACTTGCCGCAGAATGACTAGCATCTGGCCTGCTCTTGCAGCCACTGTGTTTATGTGGTGAGTCCAATTGAGTTTCTGGTCAATGATAACACCCAGGATGTTGATATTGGGGGTTTTGGTGATGGTAACACCATTGAATGTCAAGGGACTGTGGTTAAATTGCCTTTTATTGGTGATGGTCATAGCCTGGCATTTGTGTGGCGTTAATGTTCCTTTCCACTTGTCAGTCCAAGCCCGGATATTGTCCAGATCTTGTTGCATTTGAACATGGACTGCTTCAGTATCTGAGGAGTCATGAATGGTGCTGAACATTGTGCAATCATCTGCGAACGTCCCCACTTCTGACCTTATGATAGATGGAAGGTCATTGATGAAGCAGCTGAAAATGGTTGGGCCTGCGACATTACCCTAAAGAACATCTGCACAGATGTCCTGGAGCTGAGATGACTGACCTTCAACAACCACGACCATCTTCCTATGTGTCAGGTATGACTACAACCACTGGTGTGTGTGACTCCTGATACCCATTCATTCCAGGTTTTCTAGGGTTCCTTGATGCCACACTCAGTCAAATGTGACTTTAATATCAAGGGCTGTCACTCTCACCTCACCTCTGGAATTCAGCTCTTTTGTCCATGTTTGAACCAAGGCTGTAATGAGGTCAGGAGCTGAGTGGCCCTGGCAGAACTCAAACTGGACAGGTCACTTCTGACCACGTGCTGCTTGATAGCACTGTTGATGACACCTTCCATCACTTTCTTGATGGTTGAGAGCAGACTGATCGGTCGGTAATTAGCCTGGTTGGGTTTGTGCTGTGTTTTGTGTACAGGGCATACTTGGGCAATTTTCCATAGTGTCGGATCAATACCAGTGTTGTCACTGTACTGGAACAGCTTGGCTAGGGGAGCGAACAGTACTGGAGCACAGATCTTCAGAACTATTGATGTAATGTTGTCAGGGCCCGTAGCCTTTGCAGTATACAGTGCCTCCAACCGTTTCCTGACAACTTGATATCACGTGGAGTGAATCGAATTTTCTGAAGACTGGTATCTGTGATGATGGGGACCACTGGAGGTAGCCGAGATGGATCATCCATGCGGCACTTCTGGCTAAAGGTTGTTGCGAATGCTTCAGCCTGATTTTTTGTACTGATGTGCTGGGATCTTCCATCATTGAGGATGGGGACATTTGTGGACCATCTCCTGTCGTGAGTTGTTTAATTTTCCATCACCATTCATGATTGGAGTGGCAGGACTACAGAGCTTAGATCTGATCAGTTGGTTGTGGGATCGTTTAGCTCTGCCTATCAGTTGCTGTTTTTGCTGCTTGGCATGGAATTAGTCCCATTTGGTGGCTTCACCAGCTTGATACCTCATCTTCAGGTGTGCATAGTGCTGCTCCTGGCATGCCTTCCTGCAGTCTCCATTGAACCAGGGTTGATCCCCTGGCTTAATGGTAACGGTTGAGAGGGGGATATGCTGGGCAATGAGTTTACAGATTGTGCTGGAGTACAATTTTGCTGCTGTAGATGGCCTACAATGTCTCATGGATGCCCAGTTTTGAGTTGCTAGATCTGTGTGAAGTCTGACCCATTTAGCATTGTGATAGTGCCACACAACACGATGGAAGGTAGTTTCAATGTGAAGGCGGGGCTTCATCTCCACAAGTACTGTGCGATGGTCACTCTTACTGATCGTGACATGGACAGATGCAACTGCCGCTGGAAGTTTAGTAAGGATGAGGTCAAGCATGTTTATCCTTCTTGATGGTTCCCTCACCACCTGCCGCAGACCCAGTCTAGCAGCTATGTCCTTTCAGACCCGACTAGCTCGATCAGTAGTACTGCTGCTGAGGCACTTGGTGGACGACATAGAAATACCCCACCCAGAGTACATTTTGTGCCTTTGCCATTCTCAGTGCTTCCTCTAATTTTTGCTCAACATTGAGGAGTACTAATTCATCAGCTGAGGGAGGACGGTATGTGGTAATCAGCAGGAGGTTTCTTTGCCCATGTTTAAACTGAAGCCATGAGACATATGGGGTCCAGCATCGATGTTAAGGACTCCCAGAGCAACACCTGCCGGTGGGAAAGGACATATCCAGGGATGGTGATGGAGGTTGTTTGTGCTGGGGTGATGAAGTTATACAAAGTGGTCAATAGACTGTGGTTGTTTTCCGTGGAACAGATTAGACTCGGGAAGACATGACTAGGAAGTAGAAAATTACGAGGTGCATAGATGGGACAGACTGGAAGGAAGTATTTCCTTTGGTGGAGAGATGAATAACGGGAGGAGGGATTAAGTAATTAAGGTAAAGGACAAGCGGATTATAGGAGTTGTGAGGAAATATAATCTCCCAGAGAATGGTGATAATCTGGAAATCACTGACTCTAAGTGCAGTAAAGGCAGAAAACCTCATGACATTCAAGAAGTATTTAAATTTGCACTTGCGATGGCAAGACATACACAACTATGGGGCCAAGTGCTGGAAAGTGGTGCTATAACGTTTCGATGGTTGCTTTGGACCAATGCAGATTCAATCGACCTCAATGCCATTTCTTGCAATGTCATTTTAAAATCACTGTATAATCACACCACTTCAAAAGAAAATTGGAGGATTACGGGAAGAAACTAAATTTGATGTCTTTAGGAGATGAAGAGACGGAATGAAACTGACTGGATTGTTTCAGAGAGAGGTGGTAGGCAAGATGAGCTGAATGCTGTCCTCCTCTGTTCTAACTAACAGAATAAATTCAGTGCTCGATTTCAAAATCGCAGTGGAGGATCTTTTATAACCTGTCCACTGAGAAGTTAACTGAGGACTTTATCTCATCATTTTAGCATGCAGCACTCAGTACAACATCAGAGCAACAGTCACTGAATGTAGACTTGAACCCAAAGTCTTATTAATCTGAGTTTAGAATTCAGCACACTCAATAATGTGACTGATGAATGCAGGAAGGAAAAACAAAAAAAACAGTTTCTTTTGGCGACATTTTCTACAATATCTGTCTGCAGCTCCCCTGAATACATTCTGATCAAATGTGTAATAAACGCTTTTCTGAAGATGTTATTATGTGACAAACTGTGGCGTGTAATGACAAAATGTTGGCAGCTTGGCCTGGATGCATAAACATAGCCTGAGTCACGGATAAGGCAAACGTCCAGAGTTTTATTGGCTGCCATAGCCTGTGGTTGGGAAAGTGCACCTTCTAAAAACTCATTCGACCAACGGCTTTCAACAGAACACGTTGTGAACTTGAAGTGGTTTCGTTAGAATAAAAACGTTTTGTTCTCATGGAGAGTCTGGAAGGTGGCACCAGATGTAAAAACGATCTAATAAACATAAGTTCAATTTTGCGATAGATTTATGTTCACTTGTGTAATGGACTTCTGTTCTGGCTGCTTAAGATTTGAAACTGCAGCTTTGTGGCTGTGTGTATTGTTAGTCTGATTCCACCGAGGATATGGCAGGACAAAGGTAAACACAGTCAGCCTGGGCTGAACATTTGCCGACAGCTTTCTCTGTTCACTTCCGAAACTCAGAGATGACTCTTAGTGTGTTCGATACCTGGGGGGAGGTTTTCATCATATGAAGTGAGCTGGGAGTAAATTGAATGAGCTGGGATTGGAGAAGACGAGGTGTTGGAGTTTCAGACTTAGGGATACTTAAGTGTGGGTCTGGAAACTGTTCATCCTGTTGCCAAGTGGACTGACCAGATGTGAATGTTTCTGTTTTCTGTGATAGCGACTGAACAGAACTTGAATCTCAATCACAGTTCTGATCTGTTATGTCTCCAAATCAGAAACTCTTTCGTCCCCGGGCAGGGTCTGTCTCTGGTAAGACATATTCAGTGTATTAGTGAAATTCCTTGATCTCCATTATCTGGTGAGGCATGTGTACAATATTGTTTCCTCATTAAATTGCATCAAAACCGTTATGGAGATATCAGCTGCATCTGAAAGTGACTCATTATTATTTTTATTTTTCTGAGGTCTCATCATTGACCAGATCTCTGCCTTCTTATTCTTAGACCTCATCTTACACTCTACGCCTCAATATTTCAATTGCATTTTTTCCCCAGGAGATTGTTGCAATGATGGCTGACGGAAATCGGATGCATCCTTCCAGATTTCCCTGAAATTTAATGATGGAGGATGGCTTTCGAGGCTGGACACAATTAAAAGAAACGTGGATGCTGGAGGTTAGAAACAAAACCAGAAAATGTTGGAAAATATCAGTGTAATTTCTGCAGTGCACGTTATAGATCGGACACACTGCTTCTACTGCGCATCTGTGGAAAAGGGAGCGAATGCAGTGTCAATTAAATGGCTGCTTTGTCCTGACTGGTCACCCTGGTCTGGATGTACACCAGAAGAAGTCAGATTTAAATAAAATACATCATATGACCCTGGTTTCATGACCATCATTAAACCTTTCATTCCAGACACATATTCAGTTCAATGCCTACCATCTGCAGTATTGGGATGAAAAGCCACATCGAGTTATTGGATTACTCATCGGGTCGGCAATACCAAATTGCCAGCGCCTCCTGTTTCGTAACTTAGTTAATGTGACACACTTATTCAATCTCCCCATCAATCTTCTGACATTATATTTTAACTAACCTGCTTCAAAATGTTATGACAAATTTGTGAGAGGGGTTTGACTTGAATCTGGGCATCCAGGGGCACTATATCTGTGCGACAATTATTACTTTGTCAATCAACCAGTTCGAACATGTTGTCAAGTACCTCGAGGGCAGGTGTGATTTGAACGTAGCCAATCTGCTACCAGATATTAGCGATTAAGCTGCTTAACTGAATGAAATGCCGATGTGTTCCATGCGATATGTGCTGACAATTTAATTTGTTTCAGAGCACTTCTCACCATCCTACTCACTATCCTTAATCCCGGTCTGTGAAATGCAGGCCGTTGTTGGTTTTGTCCCAGAGGAGCCTTTTCAGATCATAATTTTATCCGTGATTTCCACCCCTGTTGGTTCCTCTGCTGTTCTCTGACACCTCACAGGCTCTAGCCTTGTTCCTTCCTCTCCCTTTCCCTCCATTGTGTGGTCAGGATGTGAAGTCATCGAAGGTACTTTTTGCGTGTTGTGTGAATCTATGACTGTATCACACATTTAGAAGGAATTCGTTAGGGACCTGAATCCGGATGTCCACCAGTTGTAAATATTTTAAGCATTAATGAAAAACAAAACGTGAATGGATCGAGGAAGGGCAGGGACATTAATAAACTGGGAAATTGAAAGAAATATGATTTTGAAAGGTGAATCACGTCACATAGGCGAGGAGGGATTATTGTAAATTGAGGTTACAGAAACGGGAAGGGTTATAGGCACAGAAGAGATGGTTAAGTTGACCGGGAATGTTGTTGCGTCCAGAGGTTTGGTATGTACTAAGGATGCGCGGTCTGGAGAAGGTCACGCATAATAATGTTTGTAGAATGAAATGAAATATGCAGAGGTACTGTGGGTTGCAGAGTTTGTAAAATATTACACGTATATATTTTGTAGGATTTTTATGGGCTGTGAGAAAGACCGTGTTGTAGGGCCTGGAGGAGATCACAGAGATAGGTGGAATCTTAGGATGATGTTGCGATTATATAGGGAGAGAGGGTTGTCGCCTCCGTAAAATACAACAGAGTTAGAATGCTTTCCAGGATGTATTGGAGTCGATGATGATAGGGCAGCTTGTAGGGTCTGGAGGCGGTTACAAAGAGACAGCGAGTGTTTAGGGACAGGAGGAGCTTTCAGAAATGGGGAGTGGTCCAGAGTAACTGGTCATAGTTACACAGAAAGGCAGAATTGTAGGAGCTGGAGGAGATTACAGTAGGAGGAAGTGACGGACGTTCCTCTGGTGTTAGAGCCTGTGTGAGTCCTAGACGTTCAGATATCTCTGGAATGTATTTTCGAGAAAGTAAATGTAATCTTGCAGGAAATCGTTGTTGTTACTGGGACATCGATTGTTAAGCGGTTGACACTGCTAAAAATTGGAAAACCATGCATTTCTTGAAGGAATTTAATGGAACAACAAAACAGCAGACCCTGACGGCACTGTTGAGGCGGGGAGGTTGTCAATGCTGGAGCATTTGGAGATACATTTGGAGTCTTTTTTCGAAATATCTGTCGTCCAGAAATGGACAATGATGTAGGATCTGAACTGTGGTATGAAGATTGGGAAAGTTTCCTTTTTGTCAACATTACACGACTTTGAGAGTTGTGAAGACTAAACGTATTAACAAAAACATGCAAGTTGACGACGTCAAACCAATAGAGGGGAGAAAGTGCCATACGGACTGCAGATAAAATGATGCTATTCTTCAGTTCCTTGTGGCATTTTGCAAGCAGAGTGCAAAGAAAGGGCAATAAATACATTTAAAAAATGAAAGTTGCTGAATATTGAGGGTAAAAATTTGCGTGCCGTCGAGTTTACAGAGGTTAGGATCGAGCAATCTCGTCACTCATGCTTTTATTCAACTTCCCACTCTATCACTGCACCACGAAGCATTCTGTCATTGTGAAAGACCTTTGCGCTTATCTCAATTGCTTTGTTCATTGACAAATTGAATAATTGTTGTGAGCGGATACTTCACTGCAGTCTTCAGCTGCTCCCTGAACTTAGCCTGAGTCACTCCATAAATTACTGTATTTGTGCAACAACTTAAATTTCTCAGCATCAATCCAATTTCTCCAAATATGTATGATGAGCTGTTGTAATTCAAGGGATCTGTTCCTGTAATTCTTGAGCTTATGAAATATATCACACGGTTTAGCCACAGAAGTATAAAGCTGCCCGATATGGTAAAGAGTAAAATCGCTGATTTCTTTCGGCTCTCCATTTCCGTGTCTTTATGGTTGCTTGCTTTGCTGTGACCTTTCAATCCCTTGCGGACTCGACTCGCCATTAAAATGTATCTGACTGTCAAAGCATTGAGCAACAGAATTAACGTGAATGGGAGCAATGGTGTTAAAACTGTATCAAGCCAGTCAAATCCCAACCATGCGGGATCAGTATAATAACTTGGTTTCGTGTGACAGTACCACGGTACCTTGTCAATGATCGTTCCAGGTTCATATGCACAGTAGAATGGAATGTTTTTTGACAAAAACAGAAGGCCAGTTGTAGCTAAAACAACGCCTGCAGTTTTTCTGGTACAATATTTTGTTTTCAGATTCCGGCAACAAATGAGCACGAATCGATCGAAGGTAAAAGTCACGGTGTACCAGACAGAACAGTCTGCAGCTGCACGAGCCAAGAAGTAGGTCACACTGCACGCGGGAGTAATGTCGAGAAAACACAGTGGGAAATAATAATACCTGAATTGCCTCAACACAACTTCTGCAACAATGACCATTAGGTCAGCTGCTGCCATGGACACCAGATAGCGAGTAGTGCAGGTGGAGAGGCCACACTTTCCCCGGGATAGGATTGCAATCGCCACCAGGTTTACTGCAACAGAAAGATGGGAAAGTGGGCATGAATTTACAGTCTGAACGTTGCTTGCTATCAAGTGTCGTCAGCAATAAGTGGACTTCAACAATAAACAAAGCCAGTCAGAGTGCACGAGAGCAGAGGTGAAAGTACCTCTGCAATGAATTCTATCAAGTCTCCTCAAACATTAAACAGGCAGAACAAGGTCTTAGCAGCAGATTACTTTGAGGATTAACGTACAATGTGAAACTTTTTTTTTTATTATTCATACAGCATCCAATTCCGCCCGGATTTCAGGGTTAACATCATCCAACGGAGATCTGAGGGAACTCTGCAAGTGAAGGTTTTGTTCAACGTGCAGTTTATTGACACAATTTATGACCTGTAGGAGTTGAAAACCTTCAATGGAACTCAGGAACATCCCTTTTCAGACTCCCATCCCTTCGGCAAACAATCCTATTTTTGTAGATTGGGTACAGCAACAATGCACTAATGGACTATCTTAGAATCAGATGCATCGGTTCCTGAGCAGAATCACAACTCCCTTCCAGTTGACACTGATGTGTCTACACCTTACATACTAAACCTCGTTATTACTGTCCTGGTTCAAACACTTCAACAAAAGTTGCATTCTGAGATCCATGCAAATATGGACGAAACAATGTTGAATACTGGAAATATAATTGGGATTTAGGGACTGTAAATCAGGCAGTAACAACTCGCCTCCATTTTCATCACTGCTTCTGCCAGTCGAAAAGGCATACGTCAGGTATCTGTGGATTCCTGACTACTTGCCTGGATGAGGTTGACCCACTAACAGTGAAGAATCACGAAGCAAACCATGATAAAGCAGAAGCACGTATTCGGTGCACCATCCAGAAGCATCAACTATCTGCACTACAGACAGTCAGAGGCTGAAAATGTGCTGGGAACAAGATACGCTGCAGTGATTCAACCCAGTTCTTTCAATGGAGCTTTCCAAATTCGCGACTTCTAAAATCTATAAAAAGAAAGGGCAGCAGACACTCACGACCCAAGTATCTGCAAATTCCCCTCCAGGCTCATACCCCCCTCCAACCTGGACCTATCTCATCGCTCCTTAACTACCACTATGTTCAAAGAAGTGCTGGAGCTCCCTTCCAAAGAGCATTATGTCTGTGACAGTGTCAAATGAACTGCAGTGGTGCTGGAAAGCGACACACCACGACCTTCTCAACAACAATAAGCAGTAATACATAATCAGAGATTTAGCAGGGAATCCCCAATCAAACAGTTCAGAAACTGAGGTTTCAAATCGAGCGGGCCTCATCTGACATGGTAGTCTGAAAGTTCAACTTTATTAGATAATGTTTAATCTAGAGAGAAACAGCTCACTAGATTTGAAAAAGATGCAAGGGGAGTTCGTGTGATCCGGTGATATTTTAAAATGAAAAACATTGTAGGAACATAAAAACAGGTGTAGGCCATTCAGCACTCAGGCCTGTTCTGCCTCTCAGTGTGATCACGGAAATCCTCTGATCTGACTCCATGCATCTCCTTATGGCCCGTTTTTCCTAACAGAACACAAGCGATCTATCTCAGATCTCAAGATGAGAGTGCTGAGTGAAACGAACTATTAAATATACAGAATATGTTTTTAAAAGGATGAAAATTGAAACAGTATGACAACGATTGGCAGGAAAACACCAAAAGTATGTTGTTAAGGTAATTGCATTGGCAAATGCATTATATGATCATAGATCACCATCGCTCCCCAAGAAGCATTGGACTGCCTTTTCATTGGAGACATATGACTATTGTGACTTTAATCTGAGGGTTCGCCGATTTGAAGAAAACAGGGACTTCATTCTCACCTCAACCAGAATGAAAATTGAATCCATACTGCTGGCATGACAAACCAGCCAACCGAGACTAACCGACTGCCACTGGAGTGCAATTTGTGTGTATTAGAATAATTTGGTTGGGTCCATCTTCCTCGCATGGATAGATGATTTGCCCCCAATTGCAGCCACAAGTCTATCAAACATTTCAGCTTTAATGCTGTTGTCCTTTGCTTACACTGCAGAACAATCAGAAACACGGAACTGCACTCAATCTTTTGAAGTGTTTTTTTTCTTGGTGAAAAAATGTTCTGGAAACCATTGTTCGCTTTCAGCTTTGTGTTTGCACACAAGAAGAGAACGAGAATACAAGGTTTCAGCGGAGGTATGTGGTGGGAGTAAAGTGCAAAATGGCAATGATAACTAATTGTACATAACGGAAGACCATTGCTGGGATTGAAAACTGATGTGTAAGCTTGACGTTTAAGATAATGAGTCGATTTTTCTTTCTTTGTGGGGAGACGGCAAGAATATATTGCATGTAGATAACACAGT